AGCGTAAGTTTGCTTAGGTCACGCACTTTGCGACTATCCTAGTCTAGAAATATAGTTAAGGGCAGAAATTGGCCCTTGGAACAAACTGAAAAAATCATTATGGCCCGAAGGCTTCAAAGTTTGGAGACCCCTGTTCTAACTTATCAGTATAAGCACGTGAATTGACAGTCAAATGGGAGACAAATAGTTCAATTGATTTGGACCTTTATCAGTTATCAGATTCGCTGTCTTCTGATAAAGCTAATTTCCTGATAAATCCAAAAACTCACTATTGTTTGAACGGTCGAGATGTAGGTAATGTATTCACAAACCGTAGACTGTTTTTTTATTCGTTTTTTTTCAGGAATAATAGTATATTCGTTTTGGTGCTTGGCGTTCTTCACGCCGTTTTGGTCAGTGGAACTGTTAATATATGTTATCACTACAAAAAAAATGTTCCGGAATTATTAAATGGTGAGTAAACATTTCACACTTACACACAATCATCAAAGTAAATTACATGTTTATCCTCGATACAGGAGCGGGGATCACTTTACAAACTTTTATAGTAGATTCAATATTCTTTTATCAACTGGAGCAGCTCGAAAATTGTTTCTTCAGAGTTTATTTCAAGATCAGTCTCAAGATTCTTGAGTATTTCAATAGTATTCTGCTCTACTGTACCATATTGCGGTAATTTTTTCCTTTTCCTTCATACTGAATAAATTATATCTCTCTGTTTCAACACAAGTTTTTGAATAGTATTTTTGTGGCATGATATTGTTGTTGGATTTTCCCCGTGGGTTTACACTTATTGACAAAGCTTGTTGAAAAATCTGGTATGTATAGCAAGAAACAATTCAAAAACACAAATACCCAGAAACACAATTTGAGCAAAACTAAGTTCACATATCTAATAGATAAAATATAACAATAGAAAATAAAATTTAACAAAGTTCGTAGACAAAATAGTTTGTATAGCCCCTTTCAAAAAATGTAAAAAACAAATATACACCATTTGAACTTGAGTTCACATGTCATGGCAGTAAAATAAGATATATCCCAGTATAAAATAGAATTTACAGTAGTGACACCTATAGGTGTCGATATAAACAACAGAAAAACACATATATTAAATCACAGCAAAGTTCCATTGTAATATTCATCAAGATTGTAGTACGCTTTTGTTGCAAGGGCATCTTTAACAAAGATTTCTGAACTTCTTATAGCTTTTTTCCTCCCTAATTTCGTTAGATATGTGATCATACAGCTTTTTACTTTCATAAATTAAAGAATACTTTGCCTGACTTGTTTTTGGAACATGTAGATGTATTTTATTTTCTGTTACATGCCAAATTATGTAATTTATATGTTCCGGAGTTCCAACCATATTATGTTTTTTGTAAATTAGGCAAACAGTTTCCAGTATGAAAAAATAAGTAACAGCAGGATTTTTTCTCTCAAAAATAATGGTCTGCATGACTCACGCACTCCCACTCTTGCAAAGTATCTAATCGCTGGCTTCTGCAAAACAAACACTGAATGAAAAAGTTGTTGACTGTAAAATCTCCAGAAGGCAATACCATACCTCAGGTGGGACTCAATCACTTCAATTAAAACTTCAACTATCATTGGAAAGTCTATCGCTTTACTAGATCGTTCCGCGTAATGTAACTTCTACTTGACTGTCTTGATGCTGGGCAATCGAAGGCGCTCGAACATTCCTCGGAATTCCAGCGAAGCCGGTAGCATTATTCTCGCTACATCTAGAACGGCAGCGAACATCCGCGCGCTCTTAGCTACGTCACAATTGGTTTATGGCCACCAGTGGCGGCCGGGTACATTTCCTTGGGGCATGATTTACTACATTATTTTCTTTTCAGATCAGCATAATGTATACTTGACAATGAATGACAGCATCTACGTGGGAACCCAGAGAGTGAATTTCACACATCCCGCGATAAGGTGATTTTTATTTTGAGAACATGGTAAATGTACAGGTAGAATGGTTTTTTTTGTTCTAGCCTGGATATACTCTTTGATAACCTGACGGTCAGTCACTTGACGAATATTAAACCTAGTATTTTTAACGAGAAGAAACAGATTCTCAACCTGACCTTTCCGCATATCTTTGCCGAAGGAGAGTACGATATGATGGGCAACATTGGAGATTTATTCGACATCTTTGGGAAGGGCCACTTTCGGTAATATTAATTTCAGCACTTGTTGAATATTGTAGTCTAGTGAAAAATTTCTGAATGTTATTTGGAAAGATACTCAAAGTATTTGTGATAGTTATGGATTTTTCATTTGTCTGAAAGCGAAAAAATATTTTAAAAATGAGTTATATATGAGATCAAGTCACTAATCTTCGAGTCAAATAGACTGCAACCCAAATATCTGTAGGTATATTTATTTATTCGGTATAAACGAGTTGCAACGTTGTAAAATAAACCTACATGTATAAAAATGAATTGAAGGGGTTATATTTTTAGGAGTGATTAATTTTTGGGAAAGAAAGTTTTTGGCTTTCTACTGAAATTAATCACTCCTAAATATATAACCCCTTCAATTCAAATAAGATTCCTCTAGGCTGGGATTAAATCAAATAGGTGAATGAATGTCATTACGATGTCATCGATGACATAAGCAGATCAAGCTTATTCCGTGACATTAAAAATCGTAAGTCACCAATGAAGTGTGTGTATTTTCTATAATGTTATCCAATTTGGCACTGAAGAGCCTTGGGGCAAGTGTCTTAAGGCGAAACATCGGTGTATACCAGTGAGGATGACAGTGTTCTATGTAAGTGCAATTTGTTACTATTCATTCAAAGTAGAACTCATGTGAATGATATCTGATTTTTATCCCACAACGAATGTTTGAAATACAAACTGAGTAGAGAAAAGTATCTTCGGTATAATTCAGTGTTCATATAGAAGTATTTGTTTCGAAAGAATTTTTTTCTTTCGTGTATTGATTATGCTATTTTCCTGCTCACGAATAGTATTCAACAAGAACTGCAGTGGCATGAACAGGATCAAACTGTTTGATCTTCCTCTTGAAGATGATCACTTGGTGATCGAAACACGTGTCGAGGTGTTAAAATAACGGTTTGGTGCTGGGAAAAAACCCCAGTAATAAACATTCATTGAGTTTAGGGAAACCATTTCTCTATTTCTTTAATTTTCAAGGTAATAATAATATGTAATAATTTCAATAAAAATGTCAAGGCACTGTTTTCAATTAATATTCTTGAATCTATGATAGTTTTCGTAATTTGTGTATTACATGTGTGTTTTTACATGGTATGCTTCCGCAAATTTTGTATCTAAAGAAAACATTAGACATATGCAAGTTTGTTATTCGATTACCTAACTTAAAGTTAGCTCTACAGTAAAATACTGGATATCTGTTTGCAGTGAAAGCTGCAGAGAGACACAAAACAATTTCCGATTCTTGATCAGTATAGTTTTTTGTCAAAGTTAACCTCTTTCTATATTACATTTACGATGACAAATGTATTTCTTTTGGGCTTTTGTTATATCTATTACCTAACATTCGTTGCATCTAATGCTTATCAATTTTGCAACTCTCAACAGTTCTCATTTATTTACAGGGGTCGTTTGATTGACGTGTCTATCGCTTTGACTTTAGACTTTATTTTTAACTCGACATCAATATGTGTGCCTGCCACGTTGGATGTGAGAATAGGAAAAGTGATGGTAAAGAAAATATGTTCATTATTTAGTTTCAGAAATGTTTTCATCGAGTTGTACAAAGTACCTACACAGATTTTTTTTATCTACCTAAGCATATTTTTGTTTTAGCTTAATTTTAGCCACTTCATGGGCGATAAAGATATGGAAAAGCTGATGAATAAAGGTTTCAGTAAAATATTACCGGAGATCATTAGAGTGTTTTGGGAAGAAATGAAGGAAGGAAATGATCCTTCAATCGAGGAGGTTGAAACCCCGTCATAATATACGTACTGTATCTCTGATATTTTGTTTGTTTTCAGTGGATTAATTCCATCATCAATCGAAATCCAGCTGTATCATCTGTGATAGAGAAAATGATTCAGGAAAGCTCACAGGTTTCGTAAAAAAACCTATCGAGTTATAAGAGTTTCCTGGATGAGAAATTCAGTAGCAGTAGGAATGGGGTGTTGATTGTGTGTTTACATAGTTTCGATTTCGTTAAACCTATGACAATAAAGCAAAAATAGTTTATCTGCAAATATTTTCTAGAAACCTGTGTGTTATGAATATGTCTATCATGAATACAATCAATGAATAAATCGATAATTTGTGTTACAAAGATTAGAAATAGTAAGTTGAAAAGTGAGGCCTCGTTAATCCTGTGATTAAATGTCTCTTGAAGGTGTCTTGAGAGGGGGGACAGGTGGTTAACGGAAAAACTCATTTCAACCCCATTCATACTCATGATATTTCCTTATTGAACTACTTTTAATTTTTTTGTATCAATTCGAATAGTTTTTGTTTCAATCCTCACAGAAGTTTGTATATCTATTTTATTCTCGAATACACTTGTCACATTATTTTTTTAGCAGTTGAGATGCCAGTTAATAACTACTTCCCTCTCTTAATCAAGATCAGAACTACAGATTTGTGAAATTCCAATTTATAAACTTACTATTAGTCGCTAGATGGCTTTTGGTAAACGAACAATTTCACGAAAATTAAAAAGTTTTCAATACTGCCATCTATTAGTTAGTGTCCGAACTGAGAGTCAATTCCAAATTATATTTTACAGATATCATTTGTACAAGTTTCGACACTTTTACTTTTCGTTAGATGGCGCTTACGTTCATATGTCAATAGGCTGTATTTGTTAATTTGAAAGTTTGATAGGAGAACCTCTGGCGTGAAGTCTTCTGATAGCTTGGTTAGTGAAAAACTAGTCGAGATACTTCTCTTTCAGTTCTGGTAAGAGCTAAGCCGAATAAAAGAGTTTTAGTAGAAATTTTTTAGGTTCTGCCATCTATTAGTGAATCTCAGCCTGAAATGTTTATTTCTGTTAGTTCAGCTACCAGTCTTTAGATGGCGATTAAATAAAAATAAATGATTCCTCAAACACATTAGATCAGAGCCACAAATGAAGATTTCCTTCAATTTAGTCTTGTTTCTCTGTTTTTAAAAATACTTTTTTCAAATAATATGAAAATTTGACATTTCCGTTCATGTATTAGCTGCTTGAATAGCTTTTACAGAATTTCAAAACTTGAATTGACAACTTTCACTATCATTCCCTAGATGGCGCCATATTGTTTTCGAATTCGAAAAATATGCCATTTTTAACAAAGTAGTTAGTTTTCAAGATTTGTTGCAGAAAGAACTTTTTTTAAACAAGCAAAAAGAGGAGTTTCGTTTCTATAAAGAATATTGTTCTTAACAGTGACGTTAAATGTTCTCATGAAAACGTCAACTTGGTTGGTGAAACACGCGTCGAAAAGAGTATTGCAGTTCTGGTGTTTGGGAAAAATGTTTATTTCGGACCAGATCAGATGAAACATCAACATTTTATACCCAGAGAGAAAAAATAAAAGCACAAAAGAAAAATAAACATTTCTTTATATTGACTTATAAACAATCTACATATTCTCTTCTGATTTACTTCTTTGGCCTACTTTTCCTTTTTCCTTTGCCCTTCTTTTTCTGTCTCTGTTTCTTCTTTTCCGAAAGCATCTGCGCCTTGACGATCTGATCGGAATTCTTCAGTTCCGACTTCCTTTGCTTAATCTTGATTTTTTCATTATGCCTAGCCCAATGTGTGTTCGCTCTCCTATGCAATTCTGTGAACATTGAGTTATTAATACACATTTCAGGAAATTTAGCAGAACTAAATCAAATAAGAATTGATCAATTTTTGGGAAAGAAAGTTTTTGGCTTTCTACTACTCCATCTTGATACAAAACAATGTGGGAATCTTCCAAAGAAAGGAAGGAAGTAATCAATTTGAAAGTAAGTAAATCTATACATGGATGTGTAGATCATGCAAAGAAGTAACTTTCAGACACAAACTGGAAGAAAGTCCTCCTGAAACAGCTACTTTCATATAAAAATTGAATTACACGAAAGAAACAATTCTTTCGAAATTCTGCAACCGTGTTAGGAATCACACGTTAAAAGGTAAGACCTCGTTAGTCCTTAGCTCGCACAAGTTTCTCAACTTCTGAGAGTTGACGTTCGTATGGGGGCGACAGCTGATTAACGGAAAAACAGATTTTAAACAGAAATACTTTTATATGAACACTGAATTACATAGAAGATACTCTTCTCTACTCAGTTTGTATTCCAAACATTCGTNTTGATACCGTATAGTTGATCTACAAATGAAAATATTTTTTTCTAGTTGAAAAAACCATTGATGAAGAATGATCAGTATAGTTTTCACTTACCGGTAAAGCAACCATTTTCTTTTTCTTTCTGTCCCAAACTTTCTGCTGCTTGTTCATCCTCAGAATCTCCTCAGAGTCTCCCACTAAATCGAGCTGAGCCCGAGTCGCCTCTTTCTGGAAATTATTCACGGATAATCTGGAAAAAATCAACATAACATCCCATGCCGAGCCGTTGCTCATAAGATCTCTTACCCTTGCTCGGTATGTTGATCCACAGGAGCGTAAGGAATGTAATTCTCGTCCACGGTTTTTTGTTTTTTATTCTTCTTGTACAGCACTTCCATTTTTCGCTTCTTTGGTAAGACGACCTTCGAAAAGGTTCCTTCAATATCCTCAGAGTTACTATTTTGCAAAGTGTGCGAATCCGATTTCGCCAACGACTCCGTTTCGGCTATTTTTTGCTGAACCAGCTGATGGTGGGCGCTGATTTTGTCTTTGTGAAAGGCCCTCTTCTGTTTCATCGTTTGATACTCCTGAGATTTGTTTTTGCCGCATATTTCGAAGATTGTCTGAAAAGTAAGCACCCTCTTGAAAATACTGATCACCAACGCTAATTTTTACTCACCCCCTGAGGCCTGTAGTTCTTCATCCTGTCCAAAAGATTCTCTCTGTCGTCTTCTAATCCAGAATTGTTTTTTTTGAATACAGAATGAACAGAGCAGTTGGATAAAGGCAGTTCCTTTATCCGTCGATTGCTGTCTGAAGAAGCGGTTGGTCTGGATCTGAGATACTGTTCGTAGCCTCGATCTGCAATTGCCCTCAAATTAACCTGGAGAAAGAATGTTGATCAGGAAGGCTTTTCTTAGCAAAGTATGTTAAAAATCATCAAATGTTCAATTTCCAAGGTATGTTCAATAAAACTGCAAAATTTTCCCCTTTCAAGTTTTTTGCATTCCTTCATTCTCCTCACGCTTTTTTAAACTCCCTTCTA